TTCTTTCCTTCGCCTTTAGTGTGTCCTTCTACCTGTCTTGTCTTTTCTTTCCTTCGCCTTTAGTGTGTCCTTCTACCTGTCTTGTCTTTTCTTTCCTTCGCCTTTAGTGTGTCCTTCTACCTGTCTTGTCTTTTCGGGGCTCTAAATGACCGTTATCACGTTCATGCCCCCCTCCTTCTTCAAACAAACAAACAAACATGCAAACAAACAAACAAACAAACATGCAAACAAACAAACAAACAAATAACAAACCTAGCAAATAAACAAACTGAAGAAAAAAACCATTCAAAACTCAGAAAATGCTCTCTGTTCTTTTACGTGGAATTCCGACCCATCCTGGCAGGTAGATAGAGATACTTGATTATGATTTTTCTTCTCCCCATTTGGGAATCGAAATCGAGTCTCCTGCGTGCGACAGCGAAAAGCTTAACCACCACACTACAGACACAAACTCAAAAACCACCAACAATGTCAGAACTTTGTAATTCTAAGATAGCGACATGTCTAAGCTGATGCATCTTTTATAACACCTTGATAAACAGGAGTTTACAGACAATAATATTATGTCTACAGACAGGTGCGACTTATGTCATCGAAATCGAATTATCATATCCATAAAAGAATGAAAGACTGGAAAACAAAATGAAGGAGTTATTAATTGGTTGGTTTGCTCACTAATCATCGAGTGCCAGATCTGCAACGTATATCAGCGATCATTGCTCGGATGCTCTTAAAAAGCGGTTATTATAATATCATTATAATATTATTATAATTTTGATCTCTCTCCATCACCCGTATAATCCTGTCTAGGTTTTCAAGGTATATTGCTCTGGGTCTACCTCTGCCTCGTTCCCCTTCAATTTCACCAGAAAAATGTTCAAGGCTCGTGTGTCTATTCAAATTTCCCAGAAACGTTATTTGTTTATGCTACATATTTAGATCTCTCCGGGTTGTGTGAAGTTGTTTTAAAATAAATTAATAAATGAGATTTAAATAAACAAATAAAAAAATACATAAATAAATACATAAATAATACATAACATTTGTATCGATCTCAGAAGGGCAATTTAGTTTACAATGGCAAACATACAAACATACGAACATACATATATATGTACATACGTACATTAATATAAATACATACTGGTACATACATTAAATACATATTATTTATATATACCACCAATCAAAGCTTGTTAGCTTAGTGTTAGTCAGATGTTTTATGGCACTTGTAAGAGAATAACGTCATACATAATGTTAAAAGTTTCGAAGATTAGAGTTGTTACAGGAGAAAAACAAACCCAAAGAAGAAGGAGTAGAGATAAGGACGATAGCAGATAATTGATTTGTCAAACGTTTGCCATTACACTCTTGATGGATTGGAATTGTCAGTAGATTTTTACACGGCTATTGACATATTTGTGTCATGGCTCCGTAGAAACAAACGCTCGTCCATTTTTGGGCATATGGAGTTTTTAGTATCATCTTAAAGCATGTTCGTTTGTCTTGCATTTGGAATTTTTAAAAAGCCATTTGTTTTTAATAGAAGTCAAGATATTAGCAATTGAAGGAGGTGAGGGTCACCTGGTATCAGAGGTAAAATGAGCGAGAAAGTGGCCGCGAAAATTTGGTGACAATCAAAGCTTGACTGTCCTTCGAAACTACAAATTAACATTTTTTTACCTTTGATCAACCTTTCTCGATAATAATCCACACAGAAATGTGTTCTTATATTGACATAAAAAGGTATTTTTTATACAAAAAATGAAAATTCTAAAGACATTTTCCCTACAGCCAGAAAAAGCCGGTTTTCTTGATCACGTTAGTGTGGAGAACTCCTGATTTCACCACGCTGCCCCACGTTTACATTTTTTTGGAGGTGAGATGCTCAGACTGCCCCCCCCCCCCTCCCTGGGCCACCCTCGGCTGAGAGGGATACTGCATCCCAGCACACACAGGAGGGTACAGAGTTTAAAAAAAACAAAAAAACAACAAAAAAAACCCGGACAAACAAACAACAACAATCAAACCAACAAACAAAAATGCTTGTCACTTCGCTTGAAAAGTAAACTTATGTCTTTTCAGTTTATTTTATTTATTAGCTTTTTTTTTTACCCAAACCATAAAAAAGTGGTAAATAGCTAAAAATGCTATGTGGGACAGCTGTTGATATGAGCCTAGAGGGGGTACCAGTCATATAGTGGCTGGGCTATTCAACCTGTAATCGTGAGGTTGTAGAATTGGGTTGCGAGCCTCAAATTCACCAACAATGTTGTGTCCTTGGAGAAAAAACCCTTAACTCACCCTCTGGGGCTGTGCTACTAACTGAAGTGTCTTTAGACCATTCTCAAAGAAGGGACATTAATCATGTTCTTATGCACAGTAGAACTGTAATTATTGTAAATGAGCTGATTCCTCAATGTCAGGCTCATAACTGTGCCTGAACTGGAACAGGGAACTGCTGCATTTTCTTTTCTAATCCTTACTATCGTCATTTTCCCTTTACTTCTTTTGTATGTTTGTCACATTCTAGTGACCCGTTATGTCCGGGGTGCCTTGACAGTCGAAGCAGACTTTGTTCTGTTAAAGCTAGAGAGGTGAGCAGAGTAAGCCTGATTCCCTATGAAGACTTCTCTGTTAACATCCACCCCTTAGCGCTCATATGACCTTATGCAGTTGCGAGCGTCGTAAAACCTCTACTAAAACTAAAACAGACACTTAACTTGAAACCAATTCTCCCATTTGGAACGGCCTTTCGGAGACGGACGTTAAACATGGAGGCCCTTCCACTTAAACACTCTTATGGTGTTGTAAGGGATGTTAAATCCAGACAATATCAAACATGAGCCCAAACTGTTGTAGTTAGTGTGGCACTTTTTGTATTTGCAACCCTGTTGAGTGGGATTGAGTGAGGACGACAATCGTCTGCCGTTAGTTTGTCTGGCACCTTCTGTATTTGTGTCGTAGTCTGTGCTTGAGTTACTGTTCTGTCTGCCACCTTCTGTATTTGTGTCGCAGTCTGTGTGTTTGAGTGACTGTTTTGTCTGGCACCTTCTGTATTTGTGTCGTAGTCTGTGCTTGAGTTACTGTTCTGTCTGCCACCTTCTGTATTTGTGTCGCAGTTCTGTGTGCTTGAGTGAGGAAGGACAGTCGCCTGCAGTGAGTCTGTCTGGCTGATCTCCCTTGTGGCTAAAGTGTTTGTGGACATCAAGCAGACGTAAGGGAAACAGACAGCAGATGCATGCATACGACATTC